TTTTCTTCCACCAGCTTGAATTGAAGCTGTCATCAGTTCAACTTCTTTTTAACTAATCTGGGGGCTGCTGTTCTGCTCTCATCAGTGTAGTGGCTTTAAAAACCTCTTGTGAAGCTGTTGATAAAAACTGGAAAAAAGCTTATAGTGCTAGCACAGCAAGCACCTTTCTCTGTGTTGTGGGTCACTATTCGATTCAAAGATGTAGTAAAAATTCTCCAGTGTGACAAATGCAGTTGAATTTGTCGTGTTTCAGGCTATTCGGCAGCAGCACACAGGGACTGGAAGTAGATTCTGCATTTGTGCCTAGATGAGAGTGGAGTGCTGGCTGTAGATTGGTCTCTGTGGGTATTGAATCCTACTTTATTGGGTGGACTGATGCAACTGGTCACCATAACCTAGAGTTACATTGGAACATGCACACAGTAAAACTCCTCCAAGTGTCAAAGGCCTGTAGTGTTTACAGTTCATGAAATACAAATACATGATCATGGGCTATTGTACCAGCTAAGGACTAATGCCAAAACCCTGCCACTTGAATGAGCTTGTGGCAGGCAGATTTACTTTAAAGCACAGCAATTCTTAATCTCTTTATGCTTCTTTGATGAGCTTTCACTGAAAGTCATGTTATTCTGAATGTTCTCTCATTTCAGGTCATCTAAATTAAACATAGCCTTAGTATTGCTTGTTTCTCCAAAAGCCAAACCACACTTGATTGCATCAAATACTAAACCTTAGATTTGAGGTCCCATAGAACTTGTCCAGAATAATTTAAGGTGATGGTTGTCACTGACTTGAGCAAAAAAAACTCCGAGTAAGTGATGTGATTGGTCCTGTGTTATATTCTGCTGTAATACAGCCTGTGTTTTAACTGTAACTTTTGGTGTCTGTGAAAGATGCTGCAGAGCTTCTGGAGAGTTTCTCATCAGTGTCCAAAGCCATTTGGGAACTGAGTTCATGTGGATTCATTTAAACTCTTGGCCTTCATTCACTGCTCAGCATTTGTGAGGCAAGGACTGTGACACTTTAAATATGTCTTTCCAAAGCAAATATATTTTCAAATCCAAGCAGACTTTGGAAATGTTTTTTTCTGTGGCTTGGTGGTTTTGGGTGTAGATATAGTTTGTAAAAACAAACAAAAAAACCCAAACACCAACAAAAAAGTACTATTTCTTTCAAGCAGTGGTTAGAGAACTTCAGTTCCAGGCAGTGTATCATAATTAGTTCTCTCTAGTTCTCTTCTCGCTTATTGCTAATAACTTGCTTTGCATCATGACAAACTCTAAATAAGAAGTTTTGGGAAGGTAAAAAGAACTTATATGTCCTGTAGAAATTAGTTTTTCTACTTCCTTTGAGGAAGCTAAAATCTATCCTATAGAAAGAAAACATGAAATATACCAGTTGGGGAATATGTTATGCAATTCTTATAAATACTTAGTCACTGAATACTTAAGGTGTCTATGAGTAATTGTTTACCAATAAAAGACTACTCCTGAAAAGATAAACTAAACTGTTTGAGTTTGGTGTATTTTTGTGTGCATGTTCTTGTGCATAATGTGGTAGTAGGAGTGAATGTGATTTTAATTGATGGGGTGGAGAGCTTGATTATCTGTAGTAAATGAGACTGGATTTATAGTGTGCTTCGTAACAGGTTAGGTTTACGTCACAGACTCAGGTTCAGGAGTTCCTGTTGACTTTGTGTTCTTCCTACTAGACGGTGTCATGCTTTGTTACCAGTTTTCATTCAGCTGGTGTTAATGGCCCAGTTACATTGGCAGCCTGTGTCTTAGACACGGCTGTTCCTCATGAAACCTGTTACTCTTCCGTATCGCAGAGCAAGAGATACCAAAATTCAGTTCACTGTCGGGCAGAAACGTAGCTCTGTTTTTGAATGGTATCCTCAGTTCCTGAAATCAGGCTTTACATTACCTGTGTGTTGTGTAACCTTTTGCAGTGAAATATGAAGAAGAGTATTCCAGAGAAATGACCCGTTCCATAAAGATAAGCTGGTAAGCTGTTTTAATCTGGAGACCGGTGCTTGAAATGCTGTCAGGTTGTCACGTTGAGTGTTTTAAATATGATACCAGGGATTGGAATAGATCAAGGTTCAGCATTAAATGTACACATAGAGAAGTGACATTTTTTCATTTGGTAAATGACATTCTTCTAGTTTTCTTTTCCTTTTTTAAAATAGCTCATTTACCTGTTCTGCCCAAAAGCAGTGCAGCTTATTTACTTTACTAAAAGACATGTTGGGTAAACAGTGTGTAATACTTCTTTTACCCACTGGATCACTGTGGTATCTCCATCTTGTTTTGGATAGGGAGAAATCTTGGATGTTTTTTCAATGCCTAAAACTAATAGTATTATGTTCAAGATAGTGTAATATTGAAGGCAAAGCAAAACACAGAATTGTGAACTGTTAAGGCTGATGAGACAGCATGTGGTTAGTGCTGCAGTAAGTGTGCAGGTATATTCTAGGAAGATGAAAGATGCAATCATCAAACATTTTTCCTAGTCTAGAAGTCTTGACCATCTCAGTGCAGTAAAATACTCCATCTTAGCAACAGTTGCTATGTAGGACTACCTTTTTAGGCTATGTTGGTACCATTTTAAGATGTTAAGAGCTCTGCATTGTTCCCTCTGATTCACCTCCCACGCTTGTGAGACTTGACTGTTTAGCTTAGGACTTCCATTTTACATAGAAAAATGATTAGTGAAGGTTTGATTGAGAGGGTATCCACAGAGTTAGAAACTACCATCAGCATAACCAAAGAGGAAATGAGGCTTGTATTTTGTGGGTTTCTAGTGTGGATGATCTGTTCTTAATAAGCAGAAAAAAGGATACCAGTTCTGGGCATCGACTATAAAACCAAAAAATAAGCTGTGTAGAACAGCTTTATAGCACTGCTGGAGCTACAGCAGGGTGAGAATAAAACAAATAGGAGGCTTTTAGTGTGGGGAACCAAGTGTGTTTTGCTGTCTTTGTGCTTACTCTGGTTCACAGCTGGCCAGAGCCTTGGGCTGGTCTAACAAAACAGCCGGCATTAGTCAGTCTCTGCAGAATCCTGCACCTTCTCTGTTGCTTTGATAATGGTGATTTTCTTAGAGCTGCAGTAGGAAGAGCCAAGTGGTGGAATATTTCTTTTGTTTTCTTGCATAACTGGTCTGTCCTGCTTACTTATTCAGTTAGTGGTTTTTTGATATTTTATGGGTCTTGTTTTTTTTTTTTTCCCTTCTAGTGCTGCCTGGAAGTTAGAGAGGGGGCTTAGTGTGTTTAGTGATCACTGTTAGGGTCTTGCCATTGACACCCAGCTAATGTGCACACTTGGTGAGTTTTGCCATGAGAGCCTGGAATTGAAGTTAGGAGCCGTAGCCATTGCATCGCGTGTCTTGGCAACAGTGGCTCCATACCCCTACCTTCTAGGCTGCCCTGATACTGCTGGAAGAAATACAAAACCTCTTCCAGCTCCTACAATGCACATTTTCCTGCTTAAAAAGCATATTTTCATGGATTCCCCTCCACCCTTTTTTTCTTCTCTCCTCGCCTCCCACACAGTAGTACTGAGAATTATTTTTTTTTTAAAAAAGAAAAATCTTTGGCTGTTGCTGTCAGTGGTTTTGTGCACTGCTGATGCTGTCTGCCTCTTTCTGTACAAGTTAATGTTTTACAGACACTTAACCATGCTTGACACAAACATTGACTTGCAAGAATTTCTCAAGGAGAAACATCCATAAATGTTATACTGATTGTATTGCCAAATGCTGCTGTTTACTGGTATCTTCCAACGTTATAGCCTAGAGAGGTAGAAGAAAAATGAAAATATATGTAGTTTCAGAAATGGTAAAAAAAAATAAGATGCCTCACTGATGTTTGCAGGGTATCATATCGCACTGTAGGTGTAAGGCTTGTGCCCGTTCCAGTGTTTGCTATCTCACAACTGATGAAGCTGGCAGTGAATACTCTTTGTAGATGCCTGACTGTCGTGACCTCCTTTTCTAAAGGAGAGCTACAACCTGCTTTGGGCTCTGACAACACTTAATGTCAAAATGGCATAATTTGTAACACTTGCTGTCGGTGTCAGGTGTCACAGAACAAATAAGCATAAAAAAGAAAAGCTCACTCCCTCTGTCCCGAAGTGTGTGTATTGTAAGTGTGTGATGAGACAGGGAAAGAAGGGATGAGAACAGGGAGGTGATGGGTACATACATGGAGCAGTTCTTATAAGCTTTGGTCACCACACACAGACTGCCCAGTCATTTTTGAGGCTTTTGTATGCATCCTGCTCGAGGGGACTTGTGAAAAGGGCTTTGCATTGTAATTGGTTGTAATTCAGCTTTGGATTTTGGTAGGAGTTGCTCATAAATAAGGAATAGGATTTGAGAAATATGGAGGGGCTGGAAGAGCTGGAGGGTAGAGGTTCGTGACATTGGCTGAGTTGGGAGTCCAGGTCTACACTAGAAACTTGTCAGGAACTTGGACCCTCTTTTAATACTGTTTCTTGACTAGCAGTAAAACTAGATTGAAGCACTTTCATGGCCGTGAAACTTGACTATCTGGCTTGGAAAACTACTATGAATTATACTGAAGAGTGTTTCTCTTTGCTGTAGAGAGATCTCAACAGAGAAAAAAGGTTTGGCGTGTAACTTTGCATTATCTAGATTTAAACCTGGCTGACCTGAACGTCCATCTGTGTAAGAATTGTGTGCTGAAGAGCTAAGATCTTGTCTTCAAGTGGTGTTGGTTTATAATGCAACTCTGTAGTTCTAAAAGTGGTATCTGGCATGAAAAAATGTGGTATCTTGCAAGCAAGCAGGCATAGCTTAAACAGAAGTTACTGTCTTCCTGATGGTGTTGGTTGTCTTGAGCTGTGTTAGTCATTATGTGGACACTCATCATTTGGGTTGCTGCAAAACCAGCTGCATTACTTTAAAAAAATAAAATAATCTTTGGAAGTGGTTACATCAGGTCAGTGGGTTACTGCAGTCCAGCTGTAAGAACAATGACGGTGCAAGATATTTGTACCCTTAAAATGGCAGTGCACTATCATAATTACTGCAGCAAGGTTTTGTATGACCGTAAGGTCGTACAAGGTGACATTTTTAGAGACCACAAAATTGCATTATTTAGTGTTCAAGAGGAAGATGGTAAATGCTTAGATATCTGTCTGGCTTTCCTCTGCAGCTGAAATAGGAATTGGAATTGAAGGAAGTTGCAATATGTAGATGTTTGAGCAGAGAAATGTAAAACAATTGTTTGTTTCAATGGTGTTTGCTTATTTAAATTAGTTTAAATATAGAAGATCAATTAAAATATAAAAGCATCTGTAGGGAGTAAAGAGAGGAACCTGATCAAGGGGAATTGTTTTTACCTGCTGTTTCAAAACAATAGAGTTGCCACGCTTGACTTGTGTTGCATCAGAATTTGGAGAGAGCAATCTTATTTTCATAGCTATTTATGATTGAAATGTCTGGTTTGAAAGCTCTTAGTTTAGTGACATTGCAAGAACTGAATTTTCTCTTTGTAATGTTTTTATGTCCATTTAAACTTCTGCCGGTCACTAACAACCGTATTTTGATTATGTGAAGTAAAGAAATAGGTTTGTCATTGCGTGTGGGGAATATTCACTAAAGGATATTGAGTTGAGTTTAAAGAGCTGAAAACAGATTTGGTTTTGGAGTTTCATTTAAAAAAATAAACAAACAAAAAACCCCAAACAAGCAACAAACCAACAAACACAAAAAACCAGTTGATCCTTGGCATAGTACTTGGTCAGAGTTGAGTGCCAGTGGAGTCAGGGGAATGGATATACGGCATCTTGGTGTTAGCCAGTTCAGATTGTAAGGCTGGAAGGTCTGGATTGCTCAGCCTCCTGTATTTTGCAGACAGTTAAACTGCAGGTAGTTTCCCCATGTGTTGAGCATAACTTTAATCTGCCCACTTGTTTGACTCTTAGAGAAGTCATTGAAATGTGTGAAAAGACAGTAAATCCAGGTGTGCATTCTCTGTTGGGCTGTAGCCACAGGATGGGAGGGTGAGGGCTGGCTGAGTGTTTCTGAAGGTACATGCTTCCCGTTTACAGATGATGAGGCATCTGGATGTCTGAACAGAGCAGATGAGCTTTGCATTTCTTTTGTAGATAAGTGGAAGTTTTAATATTTTTGAGTATCAGAATTGCCAGAGTAATTTGTGATTTGACAGACTAAGTGAGGGTACTTGAGAGAAATACATGGAGCACCAGTTTTATCTTGGCAGTGCACGCTTGGGTTCACAGTGTGACCTCCTCCAATGACTTCTAGTGTTTTTAATGCCCCAGCTGAGATGATTGATGGTGTGTTACACCTGATTTCCCTCTTCTGTTTCAGGTTGCTGGTACCATTGTGCCTTGTGCTGACCTGAGGTTTACTCCTGTTTTCAAAGTACTTTTGCAGGCTCAATGTGGGTAGATGAGTTTATGGCCCCCAAGGCAAGCAGAGGTCTGGCAGATGTGGTTCCCTTCACTTCCACTGCACCTCAGTTTCCTGGATTTCTGGGGAGCTCCTGTCTGGGTTGACCTTAGTTGGCAACATTTTCCAGTGATTTATCTCATAAGTTCTCTGTTTTTCTCAGGTTATCCTCACCTCAATAGTGAGAAGAGGGAAAGCTACATAATACATGGGTTTTTTTTAATTATGGAAGCATACTGGTATTTATGTTTCTTCATGTTAAAATGGAAAGTAGAAAAAGCAGTTTTTGCACCTTCTAAAAAAACCATCCCCCCTCCCCCCCAAAAAAAAAAATCCCACTGAAGTGTTTGCTTCAGAAACCTTTCATTTCAGTAAGAATTATTTAATGTAGTCACCTTCTTTACAGATGATGACTTTGATCAATTTGATAAGCCTGGCGCAGAAAGGTCTTGGAGAAGAAGAGCTGGAGATGACGAGTGGGACAGGTTGGTAAAATATCTTTATGTTCAGTTCCTGTATGCTGAATTATGTTGCTCTGTTTTCTCATTCTGGCATTTTGTATTCTAACATTGAGAGTAACACACATTTAGATACTAATGAAGATGTTGGTTGTTTTGCATGTGTCAGCCGATGCTAGACTGTGCCAGACATACACTTGCCTTGAGGAATATAGAGAGTGCTATGAAGAGATACCATTTAAAATTGGATAAATACAGAATATTTATGGCACATAATTAATTTTGCAATTAATGTCCTGATTTTCCTTTTAAATATTCAGTAGATCTCAATGGTTTCAATAGTTCTATTTTGCTAGTACCTTAATTTGCCCAACTTATTTTTTTTTTTTAATAGGTGTTTAAATTCTTATCCTTAAAGTCCTGCTTTAGTTTTACATTGGAGGAGAGTAATGGAGTTTAGATATGGGCTCCTATTGGAAAAAAACCTCTTGTGAAGACTTAGAAGTATGTATGAATTATTGGATTATATAGGTATGGTTATTGTGGAGGAGAGTAAGAGCATGTTCTTTTACCTGAAAGCACTATCTGGGAGAGACTTGAATCAAGCTGCTGGCTAGATATGTCTTCTTTCTGGGAGAAAAAAATTCACTTTTTGTGGGGTTGCTTTTTTTATTATTCCTTTTTAGTTACAGAGGGACTTCTTCAGACTTTGCCAGTGGTTTTCACTGTAAAAAGGGTGAAAAAGCCATTTCAAACAGATTTTTGTCTTTTTCTAATAGTAATTTGAGTGATTGTAGTTAACAGATTTTACCCTAAGGTAGTTTTGCACTGAGTTGAGCCCTTGGAGTGCATCAACAACTCTCTTTATCATCATTCCAGAGGGATTAGTTTCCTCTTCTGTGCTTTTTTACTAGGTTAAGTGGGTAGTTTTCATTGCTCTAGGAGGTGAGTAAGAGTGAATAAGAAATTTGGACAATAGCTTCAGTATACAATGTGTTCTGCTGTCTCCTGGTGAGGGGTGCCTGCTCTCTTTCATGCCAGCACAGCTCTTTGTGGGTTAGATGGTCAACCATCAAGGAACAGATCTGGTTTGAGAGTGTAGTTAAAATAACATGTTCAGACTGGGTCACTGTGCTGTGCTGCCTCCCATACCCAGCTCTGGGTATTCAGAAACACTGAAGTCAGTACTACAGGCAAAATGCTTTGTATTAGAATATTTTCTGAAGTTTTTGCCTTTGCTGATGAATAGTTGGGCTCTTGGATGCTGGCTGGTCACTTTGTTTTGACTTTCCTAAGTCTTAGCACTTAAGACAATTTGCAAGAGTCAAACAGCTGTTTTATCGCAAGTTGTAAACTTATTGCCAGTGGTAAACTCCCTGTGGCAAAGTTATTTTTATAGAACTTGAGAAAGATTGTAGAGTATTTTCACTAAGCTGAGACTTTGAAGCACACAAAGATTCAGTTTGAGGAAAAGTTTTTGTTTATGTGTTTATTATTAGCTGCATATAATTTAAGATAGATGATCAAAAATCATAGTGTTTATTTTTTAGTGAAAATGTAAGGGAAGTAGTTCCAGGTGCAGTGCTGGAGACTCCAGAGTTTCATCTTGTTGATCATTTCAGAAAATTGTTTTGTTTTGTTTTTTTACAGCTGTAGCTAATAGAATATTATTTTATTTGCATGTGTTATAATTTTTATTATTTTCTTAATTATTATTAATACTTTTTAGATTGCCAAGGTATCTTTGGAAGTGTTAAGTTCTGTAGTTGTCTAGGAAATTATAAATACTGCATGTGGATATGTTGTTGCCTAATGTAATTGCTTGAGTTTTTTTAACTAGTGACCTAATTCAGTGCAGGACACAGTTTCTCAAAGATGAATAAAAGGCTGATTGAACACAGTAGACTTGTTTTTAATCCTTCATGCTTTGTTTTGCAACCTAAATAACTTTTTTTGTGGGGGTGTGAAGGGTTTATGCTGTTAGTCATACATCTTGATCAACCATCAGCTCTTACTTTGTTGCTACTTAACTGAGTCCCATCCCCTAGTCATTTAAATAATTTTGAATTTCCAAATCTCTTTCCTTTCTCAAACACTGGAGGGTGATAACTAAGAGTTGGAAGGCCCCTGCTGTTTGCGAGTACAAATTTAACATTGTTCTGGGAAAATTTTTCCCGTTACATTTTTTTACAAATTCTTTTTCCTGAAGCACTTGTGTATGTGCTGCTGCTCATGTTTAACGAGGCACGCTCATGAAATTGGAGTCCAGAAATGGCCAGTCTGACATCTTTATTGTGGGCTGTTAATTTATACATTTAGCTCTTTAAGTAGCCCAAAGCTTGGGTTTGGGAAAAGCATGCAGTTCTGGTGCTATCCTGTGAGATGACAGGGCTGATTTACTAGTTGACTTTTGCTGAAATTCCCTTGTTCTGACCCTTCTCTGAGTTTATTAATTTCTCTGCACTGGCAGATAACTTTTCACTTTTTGTTGTCTTTCTTTTTTATTATTCTTCCTCATTTGGTGAGATGAATTTACTCAGTGAGGGGAATGTTGAGTGTTGGGAGCTGAGGAAGGGGAGGAAATGGGTCTGTCGCTTCTGAGAGCAGTGAACTCTTCAGACTCTCTTAACTCTCATTTCCTAGAATTGTGCTTTTGGAAAGACCTTTGTGTCTTGATGTTAGTGAGAGTGAGTTGCCTTTGTAACTATCACAGGTGTGTACTTTTATTCCAGTTTAATTTATTTTGTGTGGTGTTTGCAACCATTTGTTTTTGTCTTTTTCTCAACTGCTCTAAGATCTTTTACTATCCCTTTTTTTTTTTCTTAGTTTCCTTTTTTTTGGTTTTGTTTGTTTTTAATAGTCAGATCTGTTAATTCTCGTCCCTCTTCTTTCCGATCGATAGCTTCAGATCGGCTATTTGAAAAGAAGGTTGAGATAGGTCTGGTTTTCTGTGCAGGCTTTTCACTGTTACTTTCTTTATTCAAAAAGTTACCAATGCTGATTTTTCATCTTATAATTTATCAATGAAAATATTAAATGACATTGAATAATTTTAGTAGGTTTCAAGAGGCATTCTGTGAAACACTTTTGTTTCTGTTATGAGCTTCATTTATGTGTAAGGGCTAATTTTTTTGACTGTCAAGTAAAATCCAGAGCTTAAAAAAAATCTGGAGTGCATATGCAATTACTTCTATTGACCAAATGTTTAATCGTTTTTAAAAAAATCACATTGAGCATGTTTTTTAGTAATGTGTTTAATAGCCCTAGCTGTGTTTAAATAATTAATTAAATATTTCACTTTCTTCTCCATTCCTTTTGGATCTGAATTTCTTACTACCCGAACTTGCTTTTTGTCTTTGAATGCTGCTATAACACATGCTCTTGCTGTCTTTTGGAATTCTCTAGTGCAGTTTTATTAAAAGCTGCCAGTGGTGAACCATAGTGCTGGGAAATAATTTCAGATCTTTTGGTACATTTATCGTATTACTGGCAGCTGTAGATATTAGTGACTTTTTCCTTTTTCAGTTTTGGCTCAAAATTACTCTGAAACAATTTCTGTTACATAGATAAATCTGTGTCTGAAATTAAGGGCTTAAATCCCAGTCATTTTGCTCTTTGGGATGTATGATATGTCTTATGTCCCAACTTTTGTTTAATATTGCAGTAAGCATGAAACAATTACTATTTGTTAATGTTCAGTCATTCCTGGAACTGTTTGAGATCAGTAACTATGGCCAAATCCTGTGTCCTGATGATAACATCTGATTTAGTGCTGATTCAGAATATCATCCATTCTCTTCTAGCCCACAAGGTATTAATGTATCCACCTGCAAGAACAACTTCTAGCACTGATTTATGTCTTGGGATTGCCTTCCCCACTTTGAAGTATTTCCTGTGTGGTTTTAAGGAACAGTTATGCATATTCGCATTCTGTTCATATCCTAGAGCCCGTTCTCACTTTAGGGTATTTCATGTAGTATCTAAGGCATGTTGGGGTTTTTTTTATGTGTGTGGGGTGCTGGTTTTTTGTTTGTGGTTGTTTTTTTTTTTTAAGATCTGCAGGTTCACATTGTTGGACTACATACTGCTCATATTTCCAATCAGTGGCATCTCATTTTATTATAAGGACATGCATGTTCTAATAGAGGCATTTGTCAGTAATAAATGTTTATTATAGAAGGGGGATTCTGTTTATTCCTGTTACTAGATAATTCTTTCACTGAAGGAAGAATGAGATTAAGCAGTTGTCCTGAAGCTTAACTAATCTGAACTACAGTGAAACATGCATTTGATTTTGTCATCCTACAAAAGTCTATTTGACCTTACCCTCCACTTGAGGAGGAGGGAATAAAGTATTTATGAAAGCTCTAGGCTGAAGTGGCTCCCACGCCAGCTGGCTTCCCAGTGCCTCCTCGTGAAGCGCACTTTGGGCTAAATGGTGGTCTGTAGACAGAGTCTTGCTGACAGGACATTACTGTCTCACTTGCTTCTTCCCTGGAGAGGTGGGAAACAGCAGTTTGGGCACTATACCTTGGAGTGAAGGATCCAGAGGGGGGACCAGCTAATCGTGTTTTAAATGCCTGTGCTTTGTCTGGGTCTCTGTGCTGTGTTACAGTTGGAGGGGTATGGAAAGGAGAGCATATGAAAGTGAAATGACTGTGCAACAGTGTTCTTAATGGTATGGTCTGTTGTTTAATTTTAAATATGTATCTCCTTTTTCAACTTGCTGAATGCTTTGGTAAAACGAAAGCTTTGTTCAGACTCATCAACAATTCTCCCTGTTAGGTTTTTTAAGGCATATACCCTGTATGTTGTTTGTTTCTGTTTTCTAAGGTTCAACTTCTTTAATTTGTTAATGTTTTCCAGTGAACTTGATGATGATTTGCTTGGAGAGGATTTGCTAACTGGCAAAAAGGTAAGAGATGTGCATTAGTGTGAACTATGACAGGTTTTAAAATGTTAATGTTGTTCAACTTACCGTTTCAGTTGTTTGGCATGGCCTTTTGTCTATTTTACAGTCATATCCCCAAAGCCCGATAGCCACAGGTACCCGAGATCTGTCCTCTAGCCAGGGCGTTTGGCACCCAGAGTTCTGTTTCCTTTTGTGAGCTACCTCCAAGTGCCTTTTTAAAATAAAGCTTTCAGAAAAATTACTTTTTTTCTGAGATAGGATTTCTTAACAAAAAGTGATGCTTCTTCAGAAAGGAGATGGTTTTCAAAATCAGTTTCTCTGTAGCTCGTATTGACTTAAAAATTAAGGAAACAAAACAAAAAACCTTGCTTATGCCTCCTGAGTGCTGATTAGCATTCCAGAGAATTCACTTGAACTGCCAGTTTCCTGGCTATTAAAAGTTACTAATTAAAATACCATCAATATTTACCAGAGAGTAAATAAAAAAAGCACTCAGTGATGTCTATGAAATGTCCTCCACTCACTACGCGTAATCCACTACTACTTTGTCTAACAAGTAGATGATTTCCCCTTCTATATCGAGGGAAGAATACAGAGCAGCTAGCACTGGAGAGCATAAATGAGTCTCCCCATGTCTACTATAGACTCCTCACTCTGATACCTATTTCCAAAACTGAACTCTGAAAAGAACTAAATGTATGTTTGGATTTGCCAGATATCTGCAGGAGAAGACAGGGCTTCTGTTTGGGGAATCAGAACTGGCTAGTACCTCTTTCTGCACTTTGTCTGCTAAATGAATTCATTTAGAAAATATTTTTTAAAGTTTTAGTTGGAGCTGAATAGGTTAAGAAACCTAGGTCTGTTAAAAATTGAGTTTTAATTGATGTAGTTTTTATAATCACACTCAAAATGTTGGAAGCTAGCTTTTAGAGATTATTCTGCAAGTAATCCCTGTTAAAAATAAGAAGTTCCTTTGTCTCATGTACTGGTTTAAAAAATAAAATAAAATTCCAGGAGGATAGGGATTGCAGATGTGTGTTACGCAGTTGTCAAAAATATAAGCAGTTAACATTGCATACATCTTTTGTAGTTGAAACATGAGCTGATGAAGCTACTTACTTATCTTTAAAAAAAAAAAAAAGTGGATACTAACCAGTTTTGGATTTCTCCAATGTATTGTGTATTATGTGTTCTTGTGCTTTTTCTATTCTTGTTTTCAGTTTTCCATGTTGCAGGTCTCCAAGCAGTATCTCTGGGTATGGACTCATATGATAGAGTAATAATAGATTTCTGAGGAAGTTTTCCCTGAGCTACTTGGACTAAACTTGCTTCTACTTAATCTTATCCCAGTCTTTTTAGATAAATCTACCCTTGTATAACCTTTCTGCCCCTATTACTTTAGGGGATGAAAATAATGTTGCTGAGCAAAGCTGCAGTTCTCTCTTCCTAGTGGGTAATTATTTAAAGAAAAAAAACAACCAACAACAACACCCCCCCCCCCCAAAAAAAAAAAATAACCAACAAAACCAACCAAACAACCCCTAAAAGTGACAAATTAGGATGAATTCAGAAAAGGCACAATATTTTCTTCTATTTTTTCTTCACTTACAAACTAATTATGCTTTTTCAGTTTTTTTCATATCATCATATCCTTTCCTCCAGTCTCCTCAGTATCTCTGCTCTTTAGAAACTGCAGTAAGTTAGTGGTTTTTCTTGACTTGCCTAATGCATCAGAGTCACAAGGCAGTTAAATTAGGGCACTAAAGCTAGCCTTTCTTTCTCCCTGGTAGTTCTCAAGTGAGTTGTCATCTTAGGCTGTCTTTGGGAATGCATCAGTGAAAAGTGTTGATGGCAATTTCCATAAGGCTCTCAAACATTTATTTTCAGATTTGTTGTCTTGTGTAGCGTATTTTTTCCCATTGAATTAGGTAATTTCATGAAAGATACGATCTTAGTCCAGGATGCATTCTTAAAAAATACTTGGTGTTCAGAAGTTTCAATAGTTCCAGTACCTAGGTACTGATAAGTTTATATCTTTTTTTTTTTTTTTGTTAATGATTGACTTTTTCTGAAACCTAGAATCAATCAGACTTGTCGGATGAAGAGCTAAATGATGATCTTCTGCAAAGTGACAATGAAGAGGAACAAGACTTTCGGTATCTCTTTTCTAAATCTTGTGTTTTGGATAACTCAAAGCTTTTAATGACTACTATTAGTGATTACTAATAACTGCTAAACTGAAGTTATTGGTACATACTTAAAATACTTTTGCTTTTTACCTAGCCAGCTACTTAATGATATATATATAATGTGTTCAGTAGTAGCATTGTTAGCGTTTCAGTAGAATGATTTTTATTTGAATTAAATAAATTTAACTCAAATCTATAAAAAGCGTATGAAGAAGAAACTGCATCATTTAGAATTATTTATAAATACTTAAAGAGCTCTTGTTCTGTGCCTTGTTGGTATGGTTGTGGGCTTGCTTGTCTTGTAAAGTCCTTTCCTGCCATCTTTCTTTTAAAAAATATATCTTAACTCCTAAGAGCCCGAGGAGGTGAGCTTCATAGTTTGTAAGGCTTGTTTTGTGGCTTAAATATTTGTGTACAATTACACAGGAGAAAAGTTTGTACAGAGTTTATATGTTTGAGCAGGTGCTTCCATGGGAGTTTAATGAGGATCCTGCCCTGTGAATACTCTGTGGTACAACTGAATTTTGGGCATTACAAGTCAAAATGAGTGTCTTGACGTTTTTACTTTTCAAGCTGGACTAAATGGGCGAGGGAGATGCTTGTGATGTAGTACGGCTGCTACTTTTAGTGGCCTCTGTTTTGCCAGCTTTTCCTTTACTTGTTGCATGTTATGCAGGCATATTGTCTGAATTGAAGGTGTATGAATTCATTGGGGTTTTTTTCAGTGTCTGTGCCAATATTGTTACTAATTCTGAATATTTTAGGCATTTAAATGGCAGTTCTTGACTATATATTTTACGTTATTTTCAGTAGAACGTTAAATCTGTCATAAAAGAGTAAGTTTGAATTCAAGACAGTCAAGAAGGAACAATGTTAATGCATTTAATAAAAAATAATTTACTGTATTATTTTGAAAGACTGTGAAAACAGATGCAGTTATAATAATTTTGTGTATTTTTGTTAGTCTTGGAATTAAAATTGAATTGGTTACCAAGCAGGACTTTTGCCAGTTTGACCTGCTAAACCATCTGGTTGGTTTGATTCCCCTGACCAAATAGCCTGCAGCTGGTGATAAGCTGCAGTGCAGTCTGCATTATGAGAATATGGCATGGAGTCAAATAGTGTGTGAGGTATGATTTTGCCCACCAACTTAGAGAATTGGTACTGTTGGCTTTGTTTTGTTAAACCTTTGTGAGTAGTTGACTGTTACGCTTCAACCTCTGAATGTTTTCCCCCCTGTGCCATAGTTCTCAAGGTGTCACAGTTAGCCTCAGTGCTACATCTGGCCTGCTTACATCATACGAACTCTCTGAGACCATCAACGATCAATCAATAGAACATGAGTCCGAGTATGACCAAGGGGAAGATGAAATTGTTTATGGAAAATCTGAGGCACCTGAAGTATATGCTTCAGATTATGCAGAGGAAGGACATTATGAAGGCAATGATCATGAACTGACAGAAGACCAAATAGAATATGGGGAAGAGCCTGGAGAAGAAGATGAAGTGCTAGACCTTGAAATCAATGAACCCCTAGATGAATTTCCAGTGAGTTTCCTTCTATTCTATTTTCAAAGATAACATTGCTTTACGTGCATAGGGTTTTAGACTGATTTGAAATCTGTTTACCTCCCTAGGGAGGAGGGGAAATTAGACCTATTATCACTGTCTGCCAGTTTCTTTATCTAGGCTGTGACAAAGTTTGTGTTGACAGCTTGTTTGGCGGTAGGTAATGCTCCTTTGTCATGCTGGAAGGCAGTTGAGAATCATGACCTTGAGGATTGTATCCTTAAGGAAGAAAACAGCTTTGTGTGGTGGAGATACACTGACAATTGTTAGAAGTACTTAATGCAAAAGCTTTTATCCAGGCTTTAGACAAGATCTGATAAAGTCCTTCGAAGGTGAAAAGATTATTGACCTGCTAAAGACATCTTTAAGGTGCTAATATCCCAAAGTGATTGATGTCCTGCTTGTTCATCCTTTTTGTAACTGAGAACTGTCTAAACCTGAATAAAGAGATTGGAGGTTAGTTCAGAAAATGTCACCTGCATAATTCAATATAATTTAAGCAGTGTATTAGAGAACATGCACTGGCTTTAATTGGTAGTGGAATGATTTAATCTTAATTAAAACTGTATGTGATCAATGAAATGTTTTAAAATACAAGCAAACTTACTTAGGAAAGGTTTTGCTCTTTGTTTTTTGTTCATAATTGTTCAGAATCAAAACCATTCATGTGTAAGCACTTGCAGAATGTTTTAAGAATGTTTCTGGTTTTGATGGGGTAAAATCTGATGGTAATGTGTATGTGCTATAGTTGTGTGTTTCCTTTGGTAAGGTAGTACTGCAGAGAGTTTGTAGTCAAAGGATGTAGAAGTACAGAAGTAGATGGGGTAAACAGTAGTAGGTGAGATCTTTATGATGATAATGCTGGGATCTGAATGAACACTGGTTTTGTTACGTTTTTTATAATATTGAAATTATTGTTTAGTGAAAAGCCGTGCTAATTATACCTTATATGATATGTCACTTATAATTGACAGATCTGATAGATACAATACTTCTGTTGCAGTTCTGGGAACAGTAACAATGCATACAGGGCCCGTCTCTTAACGGGGATGCTACTCTCTAAAGTTGGCCTCCGTCTTTTCACCCTCTTGTGTTACTGCCTTAGGATGAAGATTACATGCAATCATATAATGAGCACGCAATGGAAGAACAAGAAGAATATCCAGCTGATGAGGAACTGGGAGAATCCCAGACAATGACAAATGAATCAGAAGAGGTATGTTGTGAATTTAGTGGAAACTTAAAATAATTAGATGCTTCAGAATTTGAATTTGTAGATGTCTTTGTTTAGTCAGTTCTTCTATCACCCAGTGAGCCCTCCCCACCTGAGAAGGAGAATTGGAAAAAGGAAAGGAGACCTTGGGTTGAAATGAAAACAGATTTAATGAAGTAATGATAAATATAAAATACACAAGGTTATGCTCAGCCAGCGAAAGCATGGCAGTCACTGCAAGCAGGAGAGTAGACCTCAGGAGCAAAGTGACAGGTGAGAGCCTCCAGGGATGGCGACGTTGAGGAAGAGGAACGTCCCTAGCAAACTTTCCAATTTGTAGTGAGCGTGATGTCTGTGATGTGGAATACTTCTGTTGGCCAGCTTGGGTCACCTGCCCTGGCTTTCACTCCTCCTAGCCCTAGCAGCTGGCTAACTGTAAACTGGTGAAGAGCTTGATCACCATGGCTGGCCACAAACTAAAACACAGTGTTTTATCAACTTTGTTCTCACTGAATCGAGTGCTGCAGTCTTCTCAGAAATGCAGCTTTTATGATGGGGAATTGATTGTATGATTCTGTCCCACTGAAACCAGGACAGTAGAATTGTACATATTGCTGAGCAAGAACTGATGCAGCTTTACCAATATTGATTTATTGTGGTACTTCTCTTCTTATATGATGAATTGTGATAGCAACTACGTTGTTGGATACATCAGATCTCCTCTCCCCTTTGGGATGAAAATCATAAGGGAGAGTTCAGAATGTCCATATTTAATCTTAGCTTCAACATTAAAAACTTCAGGGGTGCTTTTGGGTAGGAGAATGATAGTAATACTGCGTGCTGTCTGTCAAATCTCTAATAGCTGTGGTGCCTCAGGTTCCAGATAGGCAATTTGCTGCTGGTGGGAGCGTAGATACAGTTCTCTGGTATGGCACTTTGAGGAGGAGCGTGAGCATGGAAGGTGTTCTCTGTGTTAGAAAGGCAAAGGTCAGGTTCTTCACTATTTTGAAAGAAGCTGTGTTGGGACTAAAATTTCTGTGAAGTTTGTCTTAATTCTGCGATTAGGAAAAAGGCCAAGTTCCTTCATTTGGAAGAAAAAAACTTATGCCAAAAACTAAGTATATTTTCGCTAGTTATAGTCTGGAACAGTGATATCATACCTGTTATTAATTTGCAGCAAGTTTTTGATGTGGGATTTTTTTTCCTTTCCCCACCAGAAATCTACTTTAATATTACTTTTATTCCAGTTCTTAATTAAATAGGATTGAATGGATTACCTGCTGAGAAGTGTAGTCAGAGTGTGTTCCCTCTTTGGAGCTTTAACTCATCAGGAAATTAATTCCTCAAAGACACAGCTGTGTTCTTCTATGAAGTTCTAACAGATGGGTGTGCTGTGATACTCTAGTTGTATCAAACTTATTATAATAAAACAACATTCTGTCGTAGCTGAAGAGTGATGCATTGGAAGGGGCTGCCTGTATTGTTCAGCCTTTGCTGTAGAAAGCATGACATCTTACACTGAATATACCTTAACATGGTTAATTTCTTACTTCCTAAGTATTAAATCTACCCTTCAAGAGAACTGTGAAACACTTAAACACTTTTTATTCGCTCACTGGATTATATACACTTTCCTCCTGGTGTTTTAAATGCAGACTGATGCATTTGTGCTGTCTGCAGCCGCAGTCTGTATGAGATGATGAAAGCACTGCACATCGTGTAAAATTAAGTACACAGCTAGGATTCACAGTCAAACTCACTGCTTTATAAAAGCACAGCTTCATTTTCAGAGTATAAACTAATTCTGTTTTAATCATGTTGTCTAAATTTATCCAATTCAGAATTAAATTCCTTTCATTCAAAAGATAACATTAATGCAAGTTTTTAATTGATTTTGTTAATAGAGCTCTTACAGAATTTATTCATCATGTATTGTAAACATTTTGGCCACATCTTTATCCAGTTAATCTACATTCTGGCTTTATATTCTAATGGCTTGTAGATTACCATAGGTTTCTTGTTCCCAAAATAGTACCATCTTTTTACTCCTTTATTATTTCATATGTAGCTTATTTATGTTTGTTGGTAGGCTCACAATTGTACTCTCCAAGTGAGAATACCACCAAGAAAGATCCCTTTTTAGAGTACACACTTGTATTTATTACATGGTTAGATGCATGCCTCCAGCTCCCAGTAAGTTTGTTTTTGTTGTTTTGTTTTGTTCTTTATTCAAGTGTCTCATAACAGCATTCCTCCTTAAATCTTGGAACATTCACTGCTTGTAAACAAGGGCAATTGTTGCCATTCTCCTGTAGGATATGCAACACAATGGAGGTGTAATAAATAAATGGCATTATTATTTCTTGATTGAGATTTGGCAAATGAGTAACTGAGAGTGAGCTGATCGAGAAAAGTGTTTGGTAATGTTGTATTTTAAGCATTTTCCACGTTATAACCAAATAAAACCTCTTACTGCATGAAGAAATTTTGTAAACTGTGCAAAAAGGTGACTGGCTGGGGAACTGGAACATGATGGAAGGAAACTGGTGAAGTGAGAGACCTGTTAAGAGAGACACTTGAGAGATGTGAGAAAGAGGCAGGGAAAGTTTGTGCCCTTGACCAGATCAGGTTCAAGACATACTTTGTCACTTGATATTTGATTTGAAGTAGTGCTTGGAACTTGAATTTTTAATAAATAACACTCTTTATGGAGCTTCCTTGACAAATGTAGCAATGCTGTAGGAAATATTATTGCCTTCCTAAGGTACAAAGCAAATCCCAGTACCCAGAAGTTTCAACAGCAAATAGGTGTGCTAAAACTGTCAGTTACATGAGTTATCATGTCCTAAATATTTTTAGAGTAATAATATCACTAATTATTTCTACAAAATGTTCATAAAAATGTAACCTCCTAAAATTAGAATTCATAATTTCTTTGTTTTATATTGAAACTAATCTCCTGTGAAGTCTTATGATAGAGGGTTTCTCGTTGCATAAATTTAAACCATGTCTTGGGTTATGCTGATAAATGATGAGAACTTTAATCAAGAAAACATTTTATGAAGAAGTGCTGCATACTGCTTTTCTTTTGACAGAATACAGACTTGGAAAAAAAAAGGGCAATGTGTCTGTTGAATTTTTCATCTGTGTTTAGTCAAAACTTAGGCATTTTAGTTCTTTGGTTCAAGTTTGAAGATCCTGACTGTCAGCCTGGAGGAAAATGATGAAAAGAGTGCAAATGAAACCAGCCAAGTTTTAAACATGTTTTAGAGTTCTTAGGTTTGTTTTTTATTCCCATTTTTCATATGTGAAGTGGAAGTGCCCTTGGAATAGGTGTAACATCCTCTTCTCTGCTCTCTGTTATTTCTTGATCCCTTGGGACTGAGCATTTGCTGCTGCTTCACTGTTAGCCTCGGGTAGAAGCCTCCACTGCTTATTTTCTAGCTAGTTAATAAAAGTTCTTTGTTTCACCTTTGTTATGTTTCATGTGGAAGGAATCTGTTACAGTGCTTACCTGTCTTGTACATCATAGCACTCTCTGGCACAAAGCTCTCCAGAACACTTGACAATCCCATGTTCAGGAGGATCCTGTGCTATGATGAGTGTTTCTTTTGCTGACTGGTGTTTTCTCCTGCTTTCCCTGGGCTGTGTCTGTTATCAGTCCTGCAGCTGTGTGCTAAGCTGTTCGGGGCAGGAGCACTCACTCTTACTCCATAGCAGATCATAACCCAGCGTGGGGAGCTCTGGTCAGTGTCTGGGATTTATGGCATAATTATTTAATGAGGGTGGCAGAAAACTCTGACCTTGTGATAGAAGAAAGGTCATTATTTTTCTTTGTAAGGGAGAGTCAGCAAAGCTCTTTGGTAGCTTTCTGCAAGGCGTCATAATGGGAAATGTTAAGCTCCCTTTGAGGAGAGCTGCTAAGAAGCCTTGGCTGGCTAGTCCATTCAGGTGACCTCGAGTAGCTGTTCAAGGACTGTTTATGTATATGCAGAGATATTAATGATTAGCAAGTATTACATAGTATCCTGTAAGTACTACTATATATTAATTCTATGTCTGCACTTGTGTCTTTTGCTGTATAAATTTTATTTTGAAACATAAAATCAATTTATATGCTGTAATTTTGACAAAACTCGTCCTGTTAGGCTGGAAGTTGGCAAAGATGATCTAAAGAAGTCTTGCCTGCTACAACCATTGAACAAATTGTGGGGGAAGGGTGGATGCTCCTACACAGCTCAAATAACCTTTCCTGGAGCTATATGTAGAGAACATATGGTTGGCTGTCAGACATGTTTGTGTCTCCATCACAACTAATATAAATCCCTCAATCAGACTTGGACATGGGTCAGTTAGCATTCTCCAGCATTGCCTTTCCTTGGTGCATTCTTTTTCGTTAGCTCCTTTGATTTTTATTTTTTTTTTTGTCTTTGATATTTCATGCTTGTACAGCTGTTGTTTGTTAATAGGTTACATGAGCATTATACTGATGAAAAAGGTGAGTCAGACCCAGAAGACTACAGAATTGCTATAAGTGGCTAAGAATAGAATAGTGCTGGTCTAGAAAAGTTTGACAAATGTTTTGTATTGTTGCATAGGAAAGTAGTTGTCTTGTAGTCTGTTACAACTTGCTTTTTTTAATGGATTTTTTTTTTCCTCAGAATTAATAATTATCAAAAGACGACAGAGTTTCCACAGGCATTTTCTGTAGTATTTAATTTAAAGCGTTGTAAAATTTTTCAGGACAATACAGACTGCATTAACTGTTCTGGTCCTCATTCTGCAGTCTGAGCTACATGTAGAACCTCGCATGAGTAATTTTTACACTCATGGATGAGACTATGTGACTGAGACCAGCCTTTGATGAATAGAAACTGGAATTCAAATGTATCTTTTAAGGAGCATGGACATAGAGAGTGGGTATGTCTGGGGTTTATGCTCTAAAGCGAGAGGCCCAGCGTAGTGAGAGCGTGTCTCACAAAACAGCCACTCCAGTTCTGACTTCCAAATCCTGATCCTGAAAGGGAAGTTTTTAAAGACAACCATTGGGATGGCAAAATTATTGTCTTTATGATATTTAAAGACATAGATTTGATATAGATATTGCTACTCCTTTCTCTTTTGGGGATCTCTTTTGAAAGTAAAATGCTGACCCTGTCTTCCTCTCTTGTTATCGTTTGTTTTCATTAAACCACATTAGTGTCTATTTCCTTGCTAACATCCCTCCTCTGTTCCATCAGTCTCAACTGCCTGTCTTCAGAGGTGCTTTGATTATACATGGATATGTTAATAAGACCAGTTGTACTCAATTTGGGTTTGCTTTTGAGGTTTGGATTTCTTTCAGTCTTAAAGGATATTTTTTTTTTTTTACCTGCTATCCCGTCTGATTTTTTTAGCTGCATTTTTTTTTAGATGATAAAGTCATTACATAAGAGTAAATGTATTCTAAAAATATAAGCCTTAAAGCTTTTTGTAAACTTTAACTATTCTCTTAGCTATATTGTAAAGCATTTTTGTGAGGTCAGGAAATGTAGTGCTTGAATGTTTGCCTGGAATGGATAAACCATTCTGAGATAAGGAGATGATAAAATGAAAATAACTTGGGATCAGTAGCCCATTAAAGCCCAGTAACTAGGTATACAGATCATTTATTCAGCAGACTGAAGTGGGAGTGGCTTTGAGCTTGAGTTCATGTGGCGTGCTCTCTTTAGGACTGATCTCGCTTCCCATGTTTCTGTCTGGTTTTGGATGAAGTTGGTCTCCTGGATAAGGAAGTTTGCAACCTCTTGCACCATTCTGCCATTAATTTATTTTCTTGGTTTTTGACTTAATATCTGTCCACCTGACTGACACACTTGCTGTGCCTTTGTTCATATAAATTAGTGCACCAATTTGGTTAATTAGAAGATTTTACCATTTTTTGCATGTTATATTTTCCTCATTTTTCTTAACTGTCTTCAAGCAATGTAGAAGTTATGATATGTTTAGTGGCTTTGCAAAGAATTAAAATGCATGTGCAGGCTCTAAGAAATGAGCAAGTAGGCTTGTACAAGAAATAACCAAATACACAGTAACCAGATATTTTATGGAAAATCATACTGTATTAGAACACTTCTAATTTTCAACTCTAGAAATCAAATAGAACTTGTGTAACATTCTGAACATTAATTTTATCATGCCAGCACAGGAAAGATAAATTGTTTTTTTTTTTTCTTTTTTTTTTCCCCTTTTTTTTTAAATCTGAGGGAGAGGGATCCACTTTCGTTTGGGACATTGTTTCATCTAAATAAATATTCTGTGTTGTGGAGAGAACTGGAAAGTAAATGAGGACAAGGGAATAGCACTCCAATATACAAGTTTAGTATATTTAAATTTTATCCAATGCTGTTCTCCATTCTCATCATCAATTGGTGAATTAAAATATGTAAATATTAAAGGAGTAGGAAAAGTAAAGACAAGTACAGTTTTACATACCTAGAATAATAAAATTGGGGTTTAAGGTTACCTGGTTTGGGTTTTTTTTTTAACTTTTTTTTTTTAAACAACATGCTACTGACAGTTGTTAACAAATGAAAAAAATATATTAATGATTTAATGTTTGTATTACTTGAATCTGGTAGTATCCCAGGTTTGCATCTTAGTCAATTCAGTGATAAAATGTTTCTCTGTGTGCAAATGTAACTACTAATCAGATGGTCGTTCTAACTGGAGTTTCCATATTCCCTTAAATATTGCAGCAAAATGGGCTTTGTCAGTAGATTTTGCTATATAATTTATAATAAAATTAATATCTTTATATTTGTAGAAACTTCACCAAGTTCTTAAATGTTCACTGAATTACATATGAGAATAATGTATAATGCCAGCAAAATTTGTACAAAGGGACCTTTAAAGAAAGCTTTATCTTTGACACTCAGTGATCACAAGAAAGGTTTTTCAGTTTGCATGTCCTCTGTATTTTGTTTTTTCAGGCAGCTATTGAATCTCTGGAACTTCAAGAAGAAACGAAAGAAGAATCTGATGAAGAGGAGGATGATGACGAAGAGTCTGGACGATTACGTTTCAAAACTGAACGGAAAGAAGGAACAATAATTAGACTCTCAGATGTGACAAGAGAAAGGAGAAACATTCCAGAAACTTTGGGTGAGGTTTTGTGGCCATGGACTATTTGGAAGAGCTATAAGGAAAGAAAGTAAAAGACTTTTAGGGAAGAATTTAATAGCAAAAGATAGAACAGTAGCCTTCTAACTTAGGCTGGCCTGTATCCAAGTTGTCCAAAGTCATCTGTAGGGTGTGTGGTGTCTGTCTCCTTGGGAAGAATGTTTAAGCACACCATGTTTTGGAAAACAGTGCAGTGTTTGTTCATTGAGACTTTTGTGGTGTCTTTAAAAGCTTTCTTTTTTTCAAGCAGCAGCTCTCTGATCTGTGCTTCACTAGGTATTCCATGTATCGTAGTGGTGTATGTTTTAGGGAATTGCATTGGACTTCCATCCTTGGAAGATTTTCTGTTGATAAATTAAATGTCCTTACTTGTGTTCTGCTGTGAATTACCTGTATGTTTGCTGTTTCTCCCCAGCAACATAAGTCAAGCATCATAAGTGCTGTGAACCTGTTGTGTTCCTACTGTTAGATTGGCCTAGAGAAATTTAAACTTGCTGAGGTGTGTGTTAGAAAAGTATGGAAACTCCTGTTTTCTGAGTCAGCTTTTCTAATGTGGAACAATCTAGATCTCTTATACCACCTTAATTCTTTAACCAGTGTCTAAAAGGGTATATTTTCTTCGTTTTTGAGTAGCATAACAGAATTGTGTGTGTTTGTAGGAACACTGCTCCATGCAGCTAACGAATTTGCCACTGCTAATTCAGAAGCAACTGCTCTGCTGTAGTCTATAAATAAAATCCCATGGGTGTTTGGTTTTGAGAGTTCACTTCAAGACTCCTCATGTACCCTGGGTACTCAAGTATCTGATACTGGTGGATTTAAAATTCTCTGGCATGTACCTGCTCCTGTATTGGTGATAACTATGTTGCCTCTTCATGTTGGCCTTACGGTCGTGGTAATAAATAATAAAAAGTTAAAATTAAAAAGGTGTTACTGGGGAGGTGGTCAGAAACTAAGTTTTGCTTTCAGAAAGGTGTACCATTCTCATAGTTTTGCTACTGAACCAAAATATCAATTCAAACTATGGAGGAAAAGCCCTGATCTTTTGAAGAGAATCAAGATATGCAAGAGAGGTGAACTGGTAATGAAGGTAAATTGTCAGGTACTATTGGCTAATTGTCAGATACCGCTGGGAGAAGATGTATTTTTTGATGATACTTCAAGTTTTGCAGACTGTAGGGATGGATTCTTCACACAGGATTGCTTTATGATGACCTCCACACAGCGTGAACCTGGAAGCTGGATGCTCCTGCTTTCTTTCAGATGAGTCAGTGTCTGTGGGACAACAGGGCATTTTGGAATTACGTTCCCAGAGCACATACCTAGGTTGCTGGAACTCATCCTGATGACGTTTTCCTCTTACCTTAAAAGTCTTGCTTTGTAAGGGATGTTAGTTCTAAGGATTTTTCTCTTGAGTTGCATAGCTTACTAGTTCTTTCATTTGGTTGCAAGGAATTTGAGGTTTTACTATGCATGGAAAAATTGAGAAACCTTAATTTTATAACAAAGGTGGTGTGTCCAAGAGGACTTGTTTGTGAGCAGCAAGGAGTCAGCCACAGAGGCTGAAACAGACTTTCACAGTGGTATTCATGTAGGCCATGTCATGCTGTGAGTGAGACGTCAGTGCACGGTTTTGAACCAAGATTTTTCAGGTCTGGCGTTCGTACACAGGAAATAGCTTTTCTTACGTGCAATTTCAGGCAAAGTGTATGTTAAAGACCTTTATTCAGCATTGTTTTAATAATCAGGAATTGATTCTTATTGGAATAAGACTGAAGGGAACTCCCTAGAGGCACACAATAGTCTATATGGGCAAGGGATATTTTAGTTGAGGTGTATTCCAAATGTATTTTTAACTGTAAGACCATATTTCTGCATACCACATACAGACTGTATCTTATTTGTACAAAAGGTGCTGGTGGCTTTACAAAGCAGGATATTTTAGAAACAAGAGTGCACTGGAATAGCTAAATCTCTGCACGTAATCGCAAGATAAATGGACAGTTGCATGCATTCTCGTTTATCTGTGGGTTTACACTGTAGTTAAATGTAAAGACAAGACCAGCCGATGAGGAAAAAACCTGTAGTGAAGCTTGACTATTAAAGGAACAGTGATTCAAGTTAGACTTATTTTTTAGTGTAATTTTAAGTGATTTGAGATGTAGCTCTGAGATACAAGGAAAAGGTGATGCAAATGTGGAAGAATCTGTAAACTGAATAACTTTTTTTGAAACTAATCTTTGGCAAAAGTACAGTCTTGCTGTTGTGAAATGGTTTCTATTCATACTTGTTTTTCATGTTAATTTGTTGATAAAGAGACCAAATGATTGACCATGTGGTGGAAAGTTAAACAGCAGAAGATACTTGTTTGAATATAAATATCAGCTTGCTTTTGAGATTATAGAGCAAATTTTTACAGATGCTGTTGGTTTAAAAATGTAACTTCATTGCAGAGCTACACCCCCTTACTTTAAAATCTGAACATAGTTGAGAAAACACTTAAAGAGGAATTAACATTTCAGTTGAAGTTACAAACGTAATTTCCATCCTGTCACATTTTGGTGACCTTTTGTGACAGCTTGTCTCTATTGGAGGAGTGCATTCTTACTTGCTGATTAAAGATGTCATTTGAAACCATTTTATTACCAGCAATAGTGAAATTAATCTTGACACTTAGAGACACTAGAAAAATAATTGCTGATTCACTGCATTAACTATGTGTGAGAACTGTACAGTCAAGATGAGAGTAAGTGAGTGCTGGTAAAAAATGTGTAAAAATACAGAGTATTCTAATGAATATAGCTGAGATCTTTCCTGAACATTTCTTTATCCAAGATAAACTTGGTAGTGGTTTTGAAAAGTTGAAAGGAGAGGCATTATAGGACAACTATGCAATTGATTTCTAGAGATACTGAGTTTGTAATCTTTGAGAAATATATAACTTCTTTCAGTGCATGCAGCTGAAGTCTTTACAGAGTTGGAATTGTCATTATGCTCTGGATTTAGTTACCCATTAAGGAATATGAAGAAGAAAAATCATTTTGTTTTGCATCACCAAACTAAAGTGTTCTCTCTGTACCTAATTGAATACACAAACCAAAACCCTACCCTTACACAGAGCCGTTTGCAAAGTGATAACAAAGGTTGTTGGATGTGGTAGTACTTCTTGTTATGTCCTGCCTAGCTGGCTTATGTTCACACTGATAACTAGTGGCTGAGGTTTTGGGCAAGACTAGGAAATTAAAATGAATGGTTTCACTGTTGTCCTGTTGCACTGTGTGCAGAAGCACGTACTGTAATCAGGTGGCAAGTCTGGATGATGGGGAGAAAAAAGTTGACAAAGGAGAACATTTGCCATCTCTCTCAGTTGAGATTGTGTATGTAGGTAAATGCTTATGCATTTTTCTTTTTAATAGCTGTTCTGGAATGGGGTTTCTGTTATAAAGCTCTGCATTAGCCAGGATAATAGGAATTCTGGGATTCTCAAAAGCAGGGATTTGAAATGTTGTTGCTCTCAGAGCCACCCAAGGCAGATGTAGCTGCAGAGACCTGTGCTCAGGGTTGGTGTAGGCAGGAGCTGTGGGCCCTGTGATGCAGCACCCTGCGCGTGCTGTCCAGGAGGCATGGCAGCATCCAGCCTGGCTCAGCGTGTTTTGCTCACAAGGATCACAGGCTCTTAGCCAGGGAGAAGCAGTGGGGCTTTTCATGTGAATACCTGGCTGTGCTTTGGAGGAGTCTAGGGAGGGAAAGAGGATCTTCCTCTGCCTGTCACCTCTTTTCTAGTTAGTGATCTTGCTTTCAGGGAACACAAGGACTATCGTCCTTGCTCCCCTCCCTGCAAAACCATCTTCCTCACTATCTCCTCTCCTTGTTCTCTGTATGTGTGGCACAGCGTATTCAAATTCAGTAAACATCCCACCTTATAATTGAGCTGACTGTATGTTTTGCTGCATGGTGGCTGCTAGCAATGTAAAGCGCTTGAGGTATTCGTGAGTTCAGTTCAGTGCATGAGTCTTCACTCTTATGCAGTCTGTCTCTGAGGCTCTGAACCTGCAGTTTTGTGTGTAAGCCAGATTCTTCAGAGGTAAGACAGTGTTGCCTTCGGTGGCATGTTGTGGGGGAAGTAATGCTTGTTATCTCTTTTAAAAAAAGGTAACAAGCATACTTGTTATCTTTAAAAAAAAAAAAAAATCAAAATATTTTATTGTAATTGTGTAGTCCTAGACGTGATATGAGTGTAATAATGCTTGCTGCAGTGAGTTCTTGAGAGTTTTTGTTTTGGTTAGGCTATTTCTTCCAAGGTCAATGTTACACACAGTTGCACTTTTCTGGCTGAAAAACTGAATAGATGGACTGTGCCTTTAAAGACACAGCCTTTAGAATTGTAGAGCTTTTGTGTAAGTGACTAGGAAAACAATTATTTTTCATTTTAAAGAGAGTGAAAAGTACTTGCACATTGAAGATTGTCAGGACTGACTTTGCCCTGGATGCTGTCGTTCCTTCCCCAAACTTAATCAGCGCAGCCCTGTGAAGTAATTTTGTTTGGAGCAACTCATTCTTTCCTCTGAAGTTGTTTCTATTCCGTGTCCTTCAAAATGTGCTCAAGAGGCTGAGAGACTCAAATGTGATCTTGCCTTGTAGGAAGCATAACTCTTTTGCCAGGTTCGTTAAGAATCGCTTTCGTTCTATCCTGTTTAATAAGAATTAGCATCTTATCTTGAATGTGCATCAGTGGTAGATACTTGTTACAGTGACTGAACTTTGCTTTCCAAACTGCCTTGCTCGGTTCAGGGTTGTAGTTTGGAAGATGGCAGAAAAAATGTCCTGCCTGTCCTGTTCTTGGGGGGAGGGGGAAATTAAAACTTTGCAGCTAACAGGATGCCCTGCAGGATTTGGACCCTCTCCTGGGTAAAGGGAGGAGAGCTGTTGCTTTGCAATGTAATGGCACCATTTCTATGTATATGGGAGCTAGTGGTCTGTCCTGCAGACCAACTAAAAGCCCATGGTAGCCCTTTTACACTTGCAAGCCTGTGAAGAAACCGAACTCACTGCAGGTGTGGACAGGAAGGGGGCTTGAAATCAGAGCTCCATTTTTCCTGTTAAACCAGCTTTTTTCGTCCTTGAGGATGGATAAGGTAGTTGTTTTAGTTTAGTCGCATCTAATGCTTTTGATGGCTTTGGACAAGAGTACATCTGTCTTAATTTTCCTCCAAAATCCATAGTGTGCACATTTAATACCATAGTAAGACTTGAGGGAGTGTGATTTCTTGCTCCTTTCTAAGCATGCTGTGAGATTTTCCTGATAAAGCCTGATTGTCTTGGGCTCTGCCGATCTCTCGAGGCAGGTGCTAGGGCAAAGGTAGCATTTCACAAGAATATCTGGTGTGATTGTAAATTAAGGCTTTATGCCACTTAATTGCAGTGTCAGAGAGGGGAGAGAAAAGGAGACAGAGAAACTTGTCTCATCACCAACATGCAAAAATGAAATAGGAAACTATATGGCAGATCCTGGACTTTTAGGAGTCTTGTCATGTTTGGTGTGTTCTTAGTCAACAAGTTTTAAACTTTTCTTTTAAAAATGAAAAAGCCCCTGCTTTCTGTAGGTGCTGAATGCCTCTGAAAACAGGGACATGCAAATTTAGTCTTTGCAGCTCAGTCGTACAGGTAGTTTTTGTAGCCAAATAAGAACAACTGCCGCAGCGGGAATGCTTGGTGCTCACCTTTTTATGCCCTTCTGTCAATCCTCAGCTTCAAAGCCTGATTGAGATAACTTATGAAGATGTTTAAGGTGGTGGTTTAAGTAGCTTTGGCTATTAGACTTGCTAGAAATTTGAATAGTTTTCTAACTACTTTGATTAGGTATTCTTGATGGAGGATATGTGGTGATATGGAGACACTGTAGTAGTGTCTCAGCTGTCAGATACAAACTGTTTTTATTCTGATCTTCAGATGTTATAGCCACCATGTGTAGTATTAGCAAGTAGAAACATGTTGTCCTGAAAAATGGTCCCTGTACCCAATGTCCTTTAACATTAAGAGCAGACTTTTTAAATTGAAAACTGGAATCCTGGCAATAATTACCATTTCTATGAATTCAAAATACGTTTTTATTTGTGAGGAGTGTGTTTCTTTTAGAGTAGTTTAATTTTTCCCTGTTAGAGGCAGAAGGCAATTTTAGAGGTAACAATGGACCTGACTGGCAAACAGCAAAATCCTCAGCTGTGTGTTTGGGTTAAAGTTTGTCCTCTTTAAGTAACTGAAACCTCATATTGTCACGGTGTGTTTCCTGAAGTTTGTTTTAGACTTTCTCTATATTTGCAAGTAATTTGATTACCTGGGCCTGTTACTGCCTGGTTTTCTCTTAATGTCCCATGTTTCAAGCAAATTTGGCAGTCTTCATGGAGTGCCATCTGTTCTCTGGTGTTTACCTGTGATATAAGTTGGGTGGGTATTATCAGGGGTCATGTATTTGACTCGTGCTGAGCACAGATTTTGGAGTGTGCTCTCTCTCAAGTGGAACTATCAGTTGCAAAGTACAGCTGGGTCTTAAACCACATACAGTAAAATAAATACATACTGGAAAACCACTTCAGCGACCACAAAGTCGTCATTTGGAACAGACCAGTGTGCAAAAGAGTGGTGGATAAAATTTGTTTATATGGAAGACTCGGCATGCCCTTTACTATGAAGTTTACTGGGGGTTTCATTGTGCTGCCTGACATTTCAGCAACTAGGTGAGATGTTGTTTAAGGTAACACAAACGTGAGAGGAGCCACAGCCTCTTTTTACAGCATAAGGCAAACTTCAGTAGCATTTAAAAAAAACAAACAAACCTTTTTGTCCATGTTTGTTTCATTTACCTGCTGCTTTTTTTGCCTGTGCAACAGACACAGGTATCTGTGTGCTTTTTCCTTTTACAGATGTCTTTAATGAAATGTTAACATGCCACCTAAAGGAGATCAAAGTGCCTGCAAATTTTATCTTAGTTGCAGGGATGCTTCTGTAGTTCTATTGACGTTTTTGATTATATTTTCTATCTTTTCAGCATGAAGCTAAAATATTTTTTTCCTCATCTCTTTCTTCTAACAGAACTTTCTGCAGAAGCCAAAGCAGCATTACTTGAATTTGAAGAGAGGGAAAGGCAGCTTAAACAGGGGCGGTATGGCTCAAGGAGAGGAGGGCGAAGAGGAGGCTCGGTTATGTGCCATGGAATGGGAGAACAAAGGAGAGACAATAATGATAGGGGAAGAATGAAGGATCACAGGACTGCTCTGCTCCCAAACCAGCCATCAACAATGGTACCTTTTAATCCTCAGTATTCTGTAATGTACTTTCAGGAAATTATGAAGGAATGCATTCTAAATAGTGAATCTATACAAAGGTGGAATATATATTCCAACATACACTTTTTGCCCTTTCAGGGCACTGTTAGGCAAGATGGGCTTTGCATAACGTGGTGATGGTGAAAGTATGTGCTTAGTCCTGTTGTCAGCCTCAACTTGGAGTCTCAAGGCTTCCAAATGAAAAGTGGATTTTGACTATACAACACAATCAGGTTTATCTACTGGTTTGCATAAGAACGGAGGAAAAAGTTAATTCCTCTGAGAAGTCCTCTACATACAACATGGAAACATGTTCAGTCCCATGTTATAGTAAAAATTACTGATTCTGTAAAATATTTATTGGTTTTTGTGAAACTAACATTTTTGCTGATACTTCTTAAAAAAAATAAATCTATTTGTATACCTGCCATGCTACTGTGGAGGCAAGTAAAACCCTACAAAGGTAATTGCTATTAAATAAATCAGTATCTTTGGATTTCAGATTAAATTTAGCTTTGTGACTCTCCGCCCCGCCCCGTGCTTTGTATCACAGACAAAAAAATGTTATTTTTTCCATGTCAAAAAAACCCCAAACAACCTATCAAGTGTGTGATGAAGAGGTAACCCACACTTACTTATGTTAACTCTCATAAAATGTACTGGAAGCTGAGATTGTAGAACAAAGCCTGTGTATGTCTTTGCAGGACAAGGTCATGTGTGTTAAACAAAGGGGATTTTTTCCAACAGCAGTAACTAGGTGCTGAGCACTAGCAGGAGTCGGTGGATATCTCCGTGGTTGAGAGCCCTGCAGTAGAATATTTTGTGCTTTTAAAACAGTAAAGGTGGAATAATTTTTCTTCTGTATTGCTGCAGTCTTTGCTAGTTATTTTGATCTTAAATGTTGTAAACATATTGTGCTTGTCACAGTATCTTCTTCTTGTGCCTGCTTTGTAGCTGCTTTGCTTTATGTATAAGGCTGCTGAAAAAAATGTCACACCTTTGTTACTAAAAGGTTGCCTGATTGGGACTCTACTTGCACTGCCAGTTGGAAGTTACTACACTAGGACTGATATCTAGTATCAGTGGGTTCAGAAGCAGAAGAATGTATCTGGAGAGAAACATGATAATTTTTTAATTATTATTATTATAACTGATTTTTGCCATTTGTATTTTTAAGAGTGTTGAGCAGCAAGAGGCTTTCTTCTGTGTTATGAAAGGTACCTTTGAAAGGTATCTTTAAAATAGTTTTTTCTTCAAGCAGTACGGATAGATGGGCTGCACTGATATGTTCAGAATCTAGCTTAATTTGTATTTTGACTTTTGTTGCTACTGTTAGTGACACTGTGGCTGGACTCGATGATCTTTTAAAAGATCTTTTAAAGGCCAGCCACTTTTTTTCCAGCCACTGCGATTCTCTGATTCTGTTAGGTCTGTTTTCTCAGAGACATGTCTTGTTTTCTTCATGACAAACTAGTAGGTTTGTTTTGATACTAGGACTCAGGTTTCTAGTGATCATCATGTAGACTATATTGCAGTTGATGACAGTTTCCAGTGACATGTGCAGAACCTTACTGTCTTCGTTCCCTGTGTGCTTCCTCGCTCTTTGCTTACCTCTCCTTCACATGAATGTCTTTCATTGTTCCTTTGATATCCTGTACTGATGGTTCTTAACGATTCCAGTTGATAATATGGGAAATAGGTTTTTTCTATTCATATTTGGCCTTAATTGTTCTCCAAAGGTGTCTTGGTTTTGTGCTGGTTTATATCAGAATATTTTAACTTTAAAGCCTATTGACTTTATTCTTTTGTCTGACTTTAGACTCATTCACAGAGGTTAATTCCAACACACCAGCAACCTGTTAGGAGTCTGTTCCAGCAGCACCAGCAGCAGCAGCAACAACAACAACAGCAGCAGCAACAGCAGCAACAACAACAACAGCAGCAGCAGCAGCAGCAACAGTTACAATCTCTGCTTCCTTTACAGCATCAGCATCATTCTTCTCCTCCTCCAGGGCTACATATGCCCCCTCAGATAGAAGCACCTAGAATAATGATGACTCCACCTCCAGTGACACCTCAGCAACCGAAGAACATACACATAAATCCACATTTCAAGGGGACAGTAGTGACACCTGTACAAGGTGAGCTTGCTGAACACCTTCCCAGTCACGCGAGCGTGACTCATCTTACTCTTTGCCAGGAATGCAACAACTTGTTTATCACTTCATGGAAATGTGCTTCAGGCTGATATTTTTTTCCTTAAGCTTGAAACAAATGTTTTACCTAAAGTAAGACATAATTTAGTTGGACTGTGGCCAGTTGAAATAACAAAGCCTTTTCAACTTCTTTATCATCTTTGTTACTCTGCGGTAAAGCCTGTAAAGAGCAGTAAGAATGGAAATTGAGAAGAGAATGTGCTTTTTAAAAGTAGCAAATGTCAGTTTTCAAAACTAGGTAAATACTGCAGTTTATAATTTCCCACTTCGTTCCAGCTTCAGCCGAGCATTCGCAGAATGACCACCCACCTATTTCAGTGAGAGTACGCTGAGGCACTCCTTGCACTGTAATTGCTCTGTGAAGGGTACCAGCTGCTAACCTTACTTGGCAAGATACATGCCTTAGTTCTCCTTTCAATGCCACATTTGTGATTGTTTGCTTTGCAGCCTGAAAGTACACTTTTTCCATAACTTAACACAGCACTCTCTGGGCTACACTTTTTGGGGCAGCTCTCAGCACAGCTGTTAACATTACTACTTATTTGGGAACTGTTTAATCCCTGAGAGGATAAAAAAAAAAGACACCTATATAGCTCTGATTTGTGATCTTGTTGGAACTAGACAAAGAAAATAACTGCATATATATTTATACATATTTACCATTAGATTTTCTGTATTTCCCCCCACTTTGCTTCATTTATTTGACCAATGAATGGTAGGAATTTGGCAGGGTAGGATTGCTAGTTGATAAAGATCTGTGAGGCTTCTCACAGATGGCTTCATAGTAGCTGTGTTGTAGAGATTATTTCACTTTTTCCTGTCTAATAAAATCAATGCTTCCCACCAAATTATGCATCAGGACAGATTATCTGGAAGCAGTCCAGAAGGTCCTTTAGTCTTGGATTTATGCCTTCTGTGCATTTTCCTAACATTTCCAAAGCAACAGTTCTTGTTTTGTGAAAAGCAAAAATTGTTAGACTATTCTAGATGACTCTCCTCTCTCCCTATGAAACAGTCAACAAATCTTCTGCATCTACGTGAACAATTTTCCTCCTAATGCCAGCAATGGCCACTGAGGATTTTTGCTTTTGCCTAGCATCAAAAGTATACCAGTGTATCTTCGTTCTTTTGACTGAGTTCTTTTCACATTATCAGGTGGTTTCAGGCTTGTCTCAGCCTTACCACTACATCTGTCACCATGGGTATTCCAAGGGCCTTGCTTTATCTTGAGCATAGTCTTTTTTTTCTGTCTTTACTTGCAGATTGTCATTTTAACAAAGTTGTTTACTTCCTGCATGTTAAAAGATCTTCAGTGTTGGATTTGGAGTCTTTTTAGGTCTAATACCTGCTGGCTTTGTGTGCACATTCATTTCTTGACTGGTAAAAATCTAGTCATCCTCCTAGAATGAGCAGCCCTGGAGAATCAGTGATACATTTTTGAATAGTGTAAGACCTGCATTTCAGTGAGGAAGATCTTTGCTGAGTGTATTGGTGGCAGCTGGCTCATAGGAAATGCCTCTGTTCTGTCCGTTTTACTGAAGGAATCTTTGGCACTTGAAACTACTGAATGTTTCTGCTGGATGTGCAGCATACTGTTAAATGCAATCTTTTAAATCACTGTAGAATTTTGATCTTGATTAGAGATTGTGTATAGGAAGCCGAGTCTTCTGTAGTGGGTGAGAGTAGTGGCCATCTCAGTCTCTTAGTTTGCAACAGTGCACTTATGTAACATGAAAGTATTCCTTTGCACACCTAAGGAAAATGTGTAGGAAATCAGTAGTTGTCTTCAGGGAAGATGAGCATAATTCTAAAATCTTAAGGTGAATTTTTAAGTAGTCACTGCAGGCAAAGCTGTCTAAAGAGCTGTCCTAAACTTCCTCTTAAAAAGTCCTCCTCGGTTTAATGCATCTCCTTGAGGTCCCAGTAGGCAGAGACTGGTAACTGACAGCATCAGGATGTTTTTCACATGCAGCATCATTTATTTCAGGGTAACAGGAAGTATGAAAGATCAGATTGAATTCATTTTCTTGATGATGTTCTGCCCCTTCTTGGGTGAATATATTTCCAGATCCATGAGGGTTTTTACACATTGGAAAATACAGTCAAATAGGTGCAAAGTTTATTGGGATTCTGTTGTTGAAAGTGTGGTGCCTGGAAGCTAAAAATGCCATGTCTGGAAGTGCATGATATGTACACTTAGGTTCTGGTAATTTTAATGGTGTGCTGTCATGTTTTAACATACACTGGCATTTTCTTTCCTCTCTAATTTTATGGCAGAATTAAGCTCACATACTTCTAATTGTCAGCACCAGGGACACTTTTTCTAACTGCAAATCATAGAAATACACTTTCTCAACATCTTTTTGGTTTGATTTAGACTTGAAATGCGTCAGGTATATCAGTGCTTTCTAAAATAGACTCAAACCTCCTGTAAATTGTCATGAAACTTTCATGTGAATAAAATAGCATGTATAAGAGCTCTAGTAGCCAGCTACTTAAGCCTGAAAGTGAGTTGAAGCACTCTTGAAGAATCCTATCATTGGTTTATTCCTTTGATGTCTCAAAGGCAGATCTCTTACAATGGTCATCATCTCCCTCCCCAGACTTGAATCTTGATTAAAAATAGTTACTTTCAAGTCAGTGTTGTTTCAAACAAATTTCTATTACTTCTAGTCTTTGAAGCTTCATAAATGATTAAGAATGACTCACTCTATCAAACCCCTAAAATGGTTTTGTGAGCCTCTGCACATATCTGCTGCAGGTACTGTTCAGTTGGCGTTGGGCTGTGCCTCTTGTGGGATTTGAATCCCATGTCTTTCAGTTGCTTGCTTGTCATACAGTTTTCTTTGTTTCCTATTCTGTACCTTAGTTTTGGTTCTAAGTTGTAATTTTTGGCTGAATGTGTGTCCAAATTTGAGTATAATTAATTGACAAATACAGGAAGACTGTACATAGACGTACTATGAAATACTCATTCAGTCTGTGATACAGGTATGGAGTTTTTTCCCTTTAATGTTTATACCACAAATAACTATTTCAGGGATACTGTGGTGCTGCCAAAATTGACATGAACTAGTGAGCAGTTTATGGCAGCTCAGTAGATTAGTGTGTCATTTACCTTTTAAAAACTGTTTGGTGTCTTGGGAAAAATTGCATTTTAATTCTCCTAAATAATCAATATAGGAATTGGTTCTTCAACTTTTCAGGTATAGCAATGGAATTTACAACCAAAAGCAATTTAATCTTCTTAAAATAGTGTCTAACAACATGCTCTGTATTATTTTTGAAACCTATTTTCAAACCTATGGAAGATTTAACATCAGGAAAATGAAGGCTTATTTGAGACTACTTTGCTGTTTCAGCAAGTGTCCAAGGATTGAAAGGGCACAGAGTTTGAACTATTATCTTTCATGAGTATTAAATTAATTTGCTTAAAATACATGGATATATATCTCTATATGCTACTGCCAGAGGCAGGATACTGAAATAGACACAAGTGCCCTGCTCAGCTGACATTTCTTTGTTTCCCAACTTACACATTTTTTCTGAGTGCCTCTCTGACCTGTAATACCTGAGCTATTTTAGTCCTAGGTCTGTCAAGAGCACCCTGTCAATTTTTTCCTGTTGGCCATGGCTGCTTGATATTGACAGATGCTCATTAGAAGCCAAGATGAGACTATTCAACTAATTTTCTGGTGTAACCTGAGACAAACTTTGCATGCAGCCCTTCGGTGCTGAACGACTGGTGCAATTAGTTTACCCCATCAGTCTGTGAACTAGTAAACCACAAGTACTTAACAAAAGTGGATAGAAACCAGACAGGGGCATGAACTAAAAATAAGCACTAATGCATTAGTTCTTGCGCCTCAGTTACCAAGGGAAAAAGGGATTTTTTGAGGCATTTCAGCAAACTCCTGTGTTGGGAAGTGCACCCAACTTCTTCCTTGAACTAGCTGCATTTCTTGACATCTTTCCTGCTCTGAATTGTAATGCAGTAGTTATCTACAAAGCTGATGTTTAACTCTGTGTGTGGAAATGTTTTCCTCTCACTTTCAGAAATGCTAAAAACAAACTGAAGAAAAATAACGTTACTAAAAGTTTTTAGTAAATGAGCAAACACATTCGGTGCTGTTTGAAGTGCTTTATTTAACTTCTCTAGGCCTTTTGTTTAATGTCGAAACATTTGTACTTTTAACCACTTGGACAACTCGGAGGAAAAAGTACTTCACTGGAAAACAGGAAGTCTGTCATTACACTTCATACTGGGGATTCAAACGCAGATTCAGTCCCCAGGGAGATCCAGCAGTATGTGCTTTGTGCATTACACCATAATATTAAGTGAATGTTTTGGGAAATATTTTTTGTGTGACTAGTCTTTTCAAGTGCAGTTGTATGGACAAGTAATTCAGGTTAATCCCCTTGAAATACTAATTTTGGAGGTTATTTTTCAGGAAAAGGGTCTCCTTTTTGAAATATGGTGTCTCTTTATGAAATAGCAGTCTTTCATCCGAGTTCAGCAGTTCTGTGATTGCACAAACTGTGATCACAGTTGCATATACCATTATGGTGGCAAGGCCAGATTAAGTGGTTTTTACTTGCTGTTAATTGCCACTGCCTGCCTCCTATGAACAGTAAATTTATACCAGATAGAGCTTCTCATGCTCATGCTTGTTGTGGGAGGTTGGTGGTGAGACTGGGAGAAACCTAGGAAATCTTGAGGGGCGTGAAGTTGAAAAGGCAAATTAATCATGTATCCTTCTATTTGAAACATGAAATTATCCTTAGAGTCTCTGTCAGCTTTGTCTAAGAGGCGTCTTTGGCTGAGTAAGTATTCTAGTTTTGCGTCCTGCAACAAGGAGCAATTTAATTCTGGGAAATGCAGAATTAAATTATGTAAATTAACTAGGAGAATCCTAATTGCCCTGTTGCATGTTGCAGGGGAGGGAATGGTTGCTTAAAGTTAATTGTAGGAACTGTGACATGTGAGCGTAAACGTAGCAGATTTTAATAATGGCTTCTTCCTGCAACTGCTTTTGGAAATAACAGCAACAACTGTTAGGTAAAACAAATGGTGTTAAAAGGTGCTTCTTGTTTCAGTGCCCTTGCTGCCAGTTCCAGCCCAGCCAAGACCTGCTGTAGGACCCCAGAGATTTCCAGTGAGTAGCAGCTGTTTCTTCTTCTCTGATATGGATAAGCATACATTTGCAAGGAAATATTAATATAGCAAATAAAAGCTGTTCTAGTGAAATATAATTTTAAGGATTTGTAAATATTGACAATACACTCTGCAGTTGAAAATGTTTGTTAAAAGCTTAAGGTCAATGGATTTTTGAGAGCAGAATTAATTCTGTTTAACTGTAAAATTGTTGAACCAGTCTCTCCAGTGGGAGAGGCATGAATGCATCTTGTCTTAAGGAATATGGGCTTCATTTTATTACTTGACTCTTTCCGTATAAATAGAATTTTTATTTGATATAATAAAAGGCTATTTGAAATAATACCTAAGATTAAAAAGCAGTAATATATATTTATTGTAAAAATTGGCAATAATTTTTATCATTACTTTCATAAAAAAAATGGAAATAGCATTGCATGACCTTGCTTTCTCTTATGCTTCTAACTTCTAATACAAACAAGGCACTTAACTGCTTCACTGAGCTAATTTCACATGTTTTTTTTTTTTAATTCTGTGTATGGAGAGAGTGCATGCTTCTAGACCTTTTCTCATCATTTCACATTTTTGTTGCCCTAAATTTTTAGTTCAGGTGGTTTGCAAAGCATCAAAATAAGCAAAAGAAAAAGTAGTTTGTGAAACATTGCCTTAAATATTTTCAAATAGAGACCCATATATTATGTATCCCAAATGTAAAACACACAAATTGTAATCTGTTAATGTGTGCAGTGTTAAAGGAGGGCAGTAGATGTTTGTGAACATCTGTGTAATATCACACAATAAATTACTTCTGTAGAGATCAGATGTATTTGAAAGAAGCAGATTCAGAAACCTGCTGTGACTTTTATTACCTGGTTGTTTTTGACATAGAGTATTTTTCATACAGGACTGTGAGGATTTGTGATGTCCATGTTTTGTACAGTAACTAAGCTTTTAAATTGCTCTGTTTCTTCTGTGAAGTACAAGAAGGTTAAGCAGTAAAAGCAGAGTTTAATTAAGTAAATTTATGTTATATACTTTTATAATCAACAATTTAACCAGAGGTATTTTTCTATTAAAAACTGCTGCGGTTTTCAGAGGAAATAGTTTCTCCAGCAGCCTTCAGTATTATGTGGAGACCTTATTAACATTTTAAAAGTAGTTCTAATTGTTTTTTTATGAAATCAAGTATCTTGCATTTGTTTTCCTTTGACACTGAGTTGCTTTTCCAATAAATACAATTTGGGATGGAATAGAAATTGGAGGACAAGGAATATCTGTAAAGGCATTGTAATTGACATCTTTGAAGTGTGTTTACATCAGTGTAGAAAAAATTGGAAATTAATTTTTTTTAAATTGACTGTGAAATTAGATTTTAATTCTGTTCACTTTTGGTTTTGCAAGTTGAGAGGAACTGCAAACCTAGCTAATATTGCATGCAAAATATTTTTAGATAGTATAAAATAGATCGAATGTTTTTGGTAGGACTCTTGCTTTTCTTGCCTAGAGGAAAATGCGTGACTGTTTGCTGCCTTTTTATGTAAGCAACCCACTAGCAAAGAGTCAGTGTAATTCTTTTCTCATCAAGAGGAGGGGGGCTAGCTTAACTAGAAGGATCCAGTGTTTTGCCCTGAGTGTTTTGTTTGTGTGTTTTGGTTTGGTTTTTTTCCTACTTCAGCTAGGAACCTGCTATACGACCCTGAGAAAGTTACTGAATCTTTCCATAACTCACTTGAGTTATAAAATGTGTATAATATGGACTTCCCTTATGAAGTACTTTATAAATTTTGCATAGGTTATCATTCATATTAGGATTAAGAATTAAGTGTCACTGTGTACATATCTCATGTTTGTTTTATTAAATGTAGTATGTTAGCTCTTGAGCTGAAGACAAATTTACTTTGACTTGAATGTTTTATCTTGCAGAATACCTTTTCTGCTCTGTTACATGTCAAATGCCTTTGTGCCATTATAATTCACTTGTTTATGTGTAAATGTTGACTTATAGCAGCATAGCAATGGTTAGACAACTTTGACAAGCTGTTTGAAATAGATCAAAGAAGTACTCCAGACTATAATTCATTCATCCTTTTTCTCATTGTAGAAACAATCTCTGGATATGTGATAACTTGAATTTGCTCTTATTTTTAGTATTGCCTAATCAAAGGATAATAGTCAACTGATTTTTCTGATTGCTTTGTTTCTGAAAAACTGGGGGGTTAAAATTAAGTATTTGTAGCCTGCTTTCCCCTTCAACTTGAACTGGATGGTTTGTTTTGATTGAATGAGGCCGAGGTGGAAATGTTAAAGGTAAAGAAATTCTTGCAAGGGAGGGACCTAAAAGGGGCTGGTGCACTGACTGAAGGAAAAATTGCCTCTGAGTTCCCATCTTATCTAGAAGAAGAACTACTCAGCACACAGAGCCTGTGTGTGCTCCAAACATGGGAAGAGCTTCAATCAGAGCTAATCGATTGCAAATCATAAATGCATTGGAAACCAGGTGTTATTCATTTAGGGCTAATGAAGTGACTTGTAACCATGTAATGGTTAATTCTTACAACTTTCTGTAGAAGGATGTAATTGAAGAGTTGAGCAAAGTTGTAATGAGCATGTTAGCATATTGGTGTGAGTTCTCAATGATAAGAAATAATGTAGTACTAAATCAAGGTGATGTTGAGCAGGATTGAATCTGCTTGGAGTTGGGACTGATTAAATTTACTTAACCTTGAATCTAAATTTTAATATTTCAGGGTAGAGATCATTGTTCAGTCATTTCTTACTTAAAGTTTAACTTCTGGAATGTTTAGAGAGGAAGTACTAGAAAGGACATAATGAAATGAATCTGTGTTCCCTACTTAGAGTTATTTTAACATTTACATTTTATTAAACATTTGCATGTTATTTTAACATTTAACATCTTGAATCAAGCAAGGAAGTTGTCTGTTACTTAGTAGGCATTCAAGATGCCTTAGTGTGAGTGAAGTTTGAGAGCTATATTCAACTGATTAGGACTGAATCAATGGTAGATCAGAGGCATGTTACAGCTGAGAAGCGTGGTGAATGTGTAGTAACGGGGAGTTAAAGACCTGAGTTCTGTGAAGGCTTCTATGCTTGTCTGAATTGCACAGTACTCATCAGGTGGCTGTAGTTGATAGTAATCCAGTCTTCAAGCGTAGTCAATGTTAGCATTTTTTCCAGGTATTTGAATTAATCTGGAACTGTGCAAGTGCCAACTGCATGTTTTCTTTAAACAGTTTAAAGAACAGATTAAGCTAACCTCTCTGGCAGAGTCCTTCTGAAGGTCTTGCTTTATCATCTGCCTCTGCTTCAAAGTGGTTAAGATGCCTTTTTCTGAGTTCCTGTCTCGGTGTCACAGTTGGTACTTCACAAATAACAGTCTACTTTGGGGACTGATCCATTTAAAGGAAGATGACAGAAGACTTTATTCACAGACTAGTTGTATGGGTCTTCTGAATCTTTCACATGTTTTTTGACCAGATTATTAATTCTTGTGGATGCTCCAGTTCAGGTATGTACCCTGTGGTTTTTCTTGTTACACAAGAGGGACCATTGTGGTTCCTGTTCTCCAGTGTTTATCTGGGCTAATTTCTCTTTCAACTCCTGTGTTCTGTGAAGAATGGGGTAAAACAAGTGAAAAAGAAATTACATAGAAAATGGAAGAGATGTTTCTAAACACTTCATATGTAGGCTGCTGCTAACTGACTGTCACAGAGGCCAGATCATTACTTAATAAGAAACTAGGAGCTAAGTTGATGGTTCAGATCTTTTCATGCCTTATGTGATTCCACCAGCACATTCTGTGTCTGAAGTATTTCAGTGTTGGCTTGAAGAAAAATTTCTAAAGACCTTTTGCTTCAAATGTTTATTTAACATAATAAGCACTGAAGTAATACTCCTGTGTGGCGTGTGTGCAATTTTTTAAGGACATATAAAAGTGGAACGAGTCTTGTCATGCCCACTTTGGGATAGAGCATGGCAGAGGGAAGGTGTTTTCACTGCCAACATTCTTCAGACAGAAATTATGAAGTATCCCTAGCATCCAAAGTTGGGGCTGGAGTGTGCTATTTGGAATGAAGAGGAAGTTGGGGAGAACCTGCCTCACACTGCTCAAGGCAGAAGAGAGCAATTCCTCTGATCTGAGGCCATTCCCCCTGTGTGTCAGCCCTGGATCCTTCTCTGAAACCACTGCTGAGAGAGCACAGCCTGTTAATGCAGCTGTATGTCTTTTGCCAGGAGAATTTTTGGGAAATTGGGATAAATTCTGATTTAGCTGCTGTCTCTAACCTGATGCCCTGCGTATGATGTGAGCTGGGCAGGTGGCCACCCCACAGACACATTCTGTTGACTTTGGTGAACTTGAGTTTCAGAGCTGAAGTTGGGAATGGTCTGAAGTAACACTGGTATCTGCCTGACTAATTTATGCCAGGAAGGCTCTGATATTTTTTTAATGCACAAAGCTTTTCTCTTTTGATAGGACACTTTAGTTAGTGCACTGGATATCTTGCAGATAACTATTGAATTCAAGTCTGAAAAAGTTGAATTGTAGAACAAATTATGTTTTATTCCATATGAAAGTAAGACTTTAATAGTGACTTGTCCTCAGACCCTTGTGAATATTCTACATCACATGTCTTTTCAGTTCCCAGGGGGTTTTGACGTAATTTGGTTTTGGAACTTACCTTACAGTTTCTTTTCAGTCATCTTTATCCCAAGTAATACTTGATTTATTTTTTTTTTCCTTAAACTGAAAAAACCTTAGTAAACTTTCTTTATATTCTCATTCAACATGCTTCTACTTCATCTCCAGGACATCAGGTGTTGTCTTAAATAGATGCTGTGAAAGGCAGTTGATCAGTTCTGATTTGTTTTTTTCACCATTTCTGAAAACTCTAGTTTGACAAAATCTGAGCTTTCAAGTGTTGTTTGTAATTCAGACACTGTTTAAACAGGTCTTTATGCTTTATCTGTGAGAAGTTTTAAAGA